TTCTAAACACAGAGATCAAAATGTGATAGAGATAGTAAGAGAGAAGTAGAGATAGTGAAAGTGATAGAAGAGACTGTAGAGTAGTAGAGATAATGATGATGATAGAGAGGCTAGAGAGTGGAAAAGGTGATAGAGAGGGGTGATAGAGGTGGTAGAAATGGGAGAGGTGATAGAGATGGTAAGAGAGGGGTAGAATGGTAAGATGAGAGTAGAGATAGAGAGTGGAAGTGATAGAGAGTGCTGCGAGGCAGTAGAGGCAGTGGTGGTGGTAGAGGTGGTAGGGGTGGTAGGGGTGGTAGAGGTGATAGAAGTGGTAGGGGTGGTAGGGGTGGTAAGAAGGGGTATGAAGTGGAAGTAATAGGGGGTGCTACGGGGCGTTAGAGGCGGTGGTAGGGGGTAGATAGAGTGGTGCAATTGGCAGGCGCCACTACATATCCATGGATGGATTTGATGGGGTGCATGTGATATCATGTGAGGGCACGTTACAGGGCATTTTACTCGGAAAAGTTGGTTTTTCTATAATATATAGAGAGATAAAGTACATATATGGATGCGTGCAGTGGTCGATCGTGATGAGGCGGAGCCAATTTGAAGCAAAGTTCCTCCTCGAGTTAAATACCTTTCATACTCAGATAAGTCCTTCTGTAACTATTCATAAGCGAACGGATGCGATTCGCAATTGGGAAATTTGTTTGTTAGTTTGCGGAATCGGGATCGCTTCTGGCGGATAATCCTCATATTTTGATGTGTCGCATAGTTAACTAACGTTAGAAATTATTGTTCTCCCAAACACCAACAAGTGCCAAACACCCGCCCTTGCAATCAAACCGCCTACAAGACCTACAAGTCTGCAGACCCCGTCCCGCCTTTCCTCGTGTTTGTACGGTGATCATCGTGGTGAAGTTCCGGGGTCCTCGTATCGAGTTCATAACTAATGGCTTTTTTAAAAAATAAAAATAAAAATAAAAATAAAAATGCGATGGCTATTCCGAAATGGGCCGTGCTGTGCATAAGATTGATAATTATTATTGTGCTTTCTGATGATGATCTGTGTCTGTGTCTGTAGGAAGCGACCCGCTGCAAAAACTGCGGATATTGAATCAGTTCATATCATTACTCTGTACATAGTATGTTACTGCTGCTATAAAGGGAGTAGCTGCGCACAAGCCCGAGTGAGTGCGGGAGAGCAGAAAAGCACACACGAAGGATTTTCCCCATATTACCCTGTTATAGCGATTAACCTCGCCCCCTCCCTTTCTCTAAGAAAAAGGGATCTAACTCCTGAGAAAGAAAAAAGTTGAAACATTTGATTTTTTTTAGAAAGATAGGATCAGATCAACCAAGCACCAGCGCAGAGAAACCCGCCGCCCTGGCACACAGGCTATTTCTAATAAAATATCAATTATCATCTCTCTGCATACGAGCGCCTGGCACAGGTTCGTTCATCACTCATCGTCGTCCCAATCGATTGGGGCGTATTGATACATGTATGTACATGTACCTTAGATAACTAGTCCTATCTACCTAGTCTGTTTGATCGCGTGCGCTTGGTCTGGTTTGAGTTGTGTTGGATCAATTGACTTTGCATGTGGATGGGATCTCCATCTGTCAATAGCACTTTTAACAATTGAACAATGTTCTCCAACTTTCCTCACGTCACGCGAGTCTGATTAGTGTCAACCAAGGCTAGCTCTCCTGTGTGTATTCCAGCTCCTCTTCCTCCAGTGTTAATTGGTGGTGAATCGTGATTGAGCTCCTTTGCCCCAGTAGCTGACAGATAGATGACGAAAGCTTACAGAGTCAGCATCCGGACGGGGCACTCAGAAGTCCGAACTCGTGGTGGCGCTGTGTAGACTACTCTGACTGCTGAAGAAGTGTGACATCGGTGTTAAGAGCAGCAGTTTGGAACTTGTTTCATTACATGAACGTGGCATACGCAAAAAAAAGAAAAAAAAAAAAGAAAAAAAAAAAAAAAAAACCACAGGCAGTCATATTGTGGCACATCTGGGAAGACAACCTGCCTCTACTTTTTCTACCTAATCTCAGCAGAGAAGGAAACAAGGAAGATTCATACGCTGCGTACACAAGTGACACAACTGGAAGAATCGAAGGATAGCACAACTCCACATGCGCCTGCTAAGTGGAGTAATTTGCCTCCAACCGCTTCGTTCTTGATATTCTCTTTTTCTGTTCCGTTTTCACGCACTTCTCTAACTCCTAGTTACCTCAACGGGAAGTATCGATCGTACCTAGGTATCCGCGTTACGTTACCTATTATTAGAAAGGTACACGCGAACTGATACACAGTTGAATACTTTTGATTATTATTGTAACAACCTTAGGTAGTATGAAGAACACCCGTGCACAACCCAACCCTTAACTTAAGCATTTCCCCCGAAATACCCGCGGCTTGGCAATGACGAAAGTGGCTTCATAGTTGTTGTGCTGTTTCAGGGATGGCGTCGGCTCGGGTGGAGCTTAACTACCAAGTTACCAAGATGTTTTCTGTGGGGGAAGGGAAGGGACTCAAGGGCGACAGGGGCCATTTCCTCGAAACCAGCCAATGGGAGGGGAGGCGGCTATGAGAAAAATTCTACAAGCTTAGATAATATTCTTGGCTTACACAAAAACTCGACTCCCCGTCAAGTGATTGGTCGGACATTATTTAGGAAGGAAATTGATTGGTTTTCTCTTCTGTAAACTTGTGTGTGTCCTCACATGTCTGTGCAAGGTTTGCAAGGTTTGCAAGGTTTTTTGCAAAGTTGCAGTCCCTTGAACCTCGGAAGGTTGGGACTGAGTTCCCTTTTTGAGTTTAAGATCCATCGGCCATTTTAACTCCCTGTCTATGATTGGCTGGGGATATGCTTACCAATGGGATTGAGTTCGGGCTCTCTGATGGTTCCTTGTCTTTGGGAAGTACTTGAATAAAGTTTGAAACTTTTACACTAGTCTCAAAGTAGTTTGAAGTATGCACTGTTGATCGTTTGTTCAGTAACTACTCCGTACTCCGTAGATGCAACCTTTTTCTCTCTCAATATTTTGTATATCACCTCTCTGCCTCTGTGACTGCAGCCATCTAATAATAGATAGATTATAGAGAATACTCTCATCTATTGAATTCCATACTGCTTTTGAATAAAATCTGTGGATTATTTTGAGAAAAATGTGTGAGACAAATGGGATAATGACTCCAGAGTTGCATTTTAAGCAACCATGTGGCTCTACTCCGTACAGCGTACGCAGTATAGCTTCTGACTACTAACTAATTGCTGTGGGGTTAACTTATTTTGAGACTAGTGTAATTCGCTATAGTTAAGCTATATACTACTATTATGCTGTAGCACAACATTGTTCAGCTAATAATTACTTTCCTCTTGTTTCTTTCCTCTTTTCCTTTTGTCTCCTGTCTTCTTTTGCTTCCCCTAACACCCTACGAGGCGGCGCAGACCCTTACCTAGCTTTTTTTGCTTTTTCTTATGCTTTCTTTCCTTTTTGCGCGCTTTTGCATCCAATGACAAAGCTGGGCAGTTCCTGTAGTTTTTTAACTTTTTGCCCCTTCCCTTGCTTGATTTCTCCCTTTCCCTTATTATCCCTGTATCCCTGTATCCCTGTATGTATCACTTCACCCTTCACACTTCACCCTTCACACTTCACCCTTCACTCCACAGCCCACAGCCCACAGCCCACAGCTCACAGCTCACAGCGCTTCCTCTATCTCTCTTCCCTCCCGCATTACTCTTTTTGGTTCTTGGTGCATTCGATACCTCGGCCTACTGATACTGAAGAAGTATATATAACCCACGACCCCATCCTGTTCTCGGGATAATCTTTCTTGTATTATTATTTCTGGTGGGCCTCACATCCCCTGTTCTTGAATAGGCTGGGTTGTACCGGTTGCAAGCACATATATCGCATGATATATATATCTCTATATATACATACATACCATACCCTTGAGCTTCTCCACATTCTGTGTTTTGACTTTAAATTGCACAAATTTCACCAGGTGCCTTATACACCTTGATTCCCTATATACTTCCTGTTGTTTGTTTGTTTTGTTTTTTTTTTTTTCTGTGAGTGATACAGAAAACGGGTTCTACTACTACTACCCACATCCGACAAACCAACTTGGGGGCCCCGCATACGCATACTTTCGTGCTCCGTCAATTGGATAAACCCTGAGCAGCAATCTTGATTGGTATCTGATTTAAGGCTGTGGTCTATCCATCCCAAAGCAACAATCCAACAACAGCCCCCACCCTCGGGATTCCCAGAAGCAGCAATATTTCACTCCAGCAGGTAGCCTGACGCCAATTCACGCATATGTTCTGACATATCCAGCCCTGTGCGACACAAAAACGAGTCGTCTATATCTATCTATCTACCTACCAATCACTAGAGCAAACCCCCCCAAACGCGCGTTCATGTTTCTCTGATAGACTCAACAATCATACACCTACTACATCTACAACTCCTCCACCGGCCTTTCCAAAGCAACAGCGCCCAACGCAGCTTACATCTAACACCAACCCATCCCCCCCCCAAAAAACCAAAAAAAAAAAAAAAAAAAGACAAGCAAAACCGAAACCATGCCGTTCTTCGTGAATCCTTTGAAGAATAACGACCTCTCGTCCTTCCCTGGCGTTGTGGTGCCTCTGGCGCAAGCCCAACACAAAAACCCCGCCTCCCCCACCAACTCTGGAGACGGAAAATCGGACAATGTAGCAGAAAAGGGCTCTTCGTCTTCCCTGAGCGACCAGCAGTACTCTGGCTTGACTTTGGATGCCATCAGAGCTGAGGTAGAGAGCGATGTGGCAACATCGGGCAGTGATACCGCATATGATCGTATGTTTTGCTGATATATTACATGTTTTTCTGTGCTTTCTTTTTCTCTCTCCATGTCACTCTCAAAGCAAACTTCCTCGATTTGGAAGAGAGGAGGCCGGCCTACTTTTATCACTCAAACTTTACCATAGGCCCGTCCATTTGTCGCTCCCCTTGTCCGGTTTTGGTTCATAACAGGGGGCCCCCTCCTCCCCTGACGCGACCAGGATAGCTCGCTTTATCTGTTTTTATGTTTGTTGAAGATGATGGATCTAATTCTTTTTTTTTTTTTTTCAATCGCTGCTTATAGGTAAATCAAAAGTGATTAACTTGGCTGTCCAGGATATTGGAATGGGAAAATATCAATGGCAGTTGTTTGTTCTCTGTGGTTTTGGCTGGTTGGCAGACAAGTACGTTGAGATTAAACATTCCCCCCCCACCCCTTTGCTCTCTTTTCTCGACTTATAATATATATTGTGGAAATTGGCCGGCTAATAACTCATTTGTTTTGAACTGTATTGCAGCCTCTGGTTACAGGTATGTTTTACCATAACCGTCATCTGAAGATTGTTTTTTTTTTTTTTTTTTTTTTTTTTAAGCGAATACGAAAGAAACTCAGGGGTTAAAAATATATATGGATAGGCTAACAAGTCCTCCCCGTTTGTTTGTAGGGCGTTGCTTTGACATTACCAAGTCTTTCCGTGGAATTCGGGATTGACGAGTCCTATGTCCGCTTCACAACCTGCTCGCTGTTCGTTGGCTTGTGTGTTGGAGCTGTGGTCTGGGGTACCGCGTCGGACATGATCGGTCGTCGTCTCGCGTTTAACCTGACCTTGCTCATCACTGGTGTTTTCGGCCTTGCGTCGGGTGGTAGCCCGACATGGGTTGGGTAGGTTAAGCAAACAAAAGCAAAATTCCCGTTCTAGCTCTCAGGCTAGGGTCACAAAAAGTGAAGTATAGAAACTAACGTTTTTCTTCTTTTCTTTTCTTAGTGTCTGTTCGATGTTCGCATGTCTAGGGCTGGGAGTTGGTGGCAATCTGCCCGTTGATGGCGCATTGTTCCTGGAATTCCTGCCCTTTGCTTCGGGCAATCTCCTAACAATGTTGAGTATTTGGTGGCCCCTTGGTACCCTTGTCGGAAGGTAAATATATACATATACATATATTCTTATCATTGGGTTCCCCCCCCCCCCCCCAGTTTTCCTGGGCTTCCCTTGCAGAAAGCTAACAGTGATGATCTACTCCAGTATGATTGCCTGGGGCCTCATCCCAAATTTCTCGTGCGACCCAGCAGATCTACTTTGCACAAAGGAAAACAACATGGGCTGGCGTTATCTCGTCATCACCCTGGGCGCCCTGACCTTCGTCATGTTCCTCTGCCGCTTCTTCCTCTTCCATCTCTACGAGTCGCCCAAGTTCCTTCTTTCCCGTGGCCGCCAGGAAGAAGCTGTGGCCACCGTCCATGCCATCGCGTATAAGAATGGAGCCAAGACTTGGCTGACCAATGAAATCCTGAACGAGATTGGCGGCCACCCTGAGCAAATTTCTCCTGATCAGCAGAAATTGTCGAATTCGGAGATTGTTAGGAGGCAGCTGTCTAAGTTTTCTGCGCAGCGGATTGCGCCGCTTTTTGCGACTAAGAGGATGGGGTTTACGAGTATGTTCCCTTCGTTATTTTATGATACTAATGAGGAAAGGAAAAAATAAGGAAAAAGGGTGGGGAAGAAGTAGTTATTGTAGCTAACGTATTTCTTAGCTGTTCTCCTTTGGTTCTGCTGGGGCACCATTGGCATGGGATATCCCCTTTTCAACGCCTTCTTACCCCAATACCTCGGGAATAGCGGAGAAACACCCGTTTCAATTGGTATGTTCAGAGCCTCCAGCCATACCTATACCCTCCCACAGTTCTTCAAAATCTCCTTATGAGAGGATCCAAAAATATGCGTATACATATATATACATTCATCTCCAACCCAACCAACTAAGCAATACCCAACCCCCCACACAGTCTACCGCAACTATGCCATAACCGCCATCGTTGGCGTCCCCGGCTCCATCCTCGCCTGCTACACCGTCGACATCCCCTACGTCGGGCGCAAGGGCACCATGGCCATCTCCACCGCCCTTACCGCCGTCACCCTCTTCTGCTTCACCATCTCCGACGACCCAGACGTCCAGCTCGCCTGCTCGTGTCTGGAAGCCTTCTTCCAGAACATCATGTACGGCGTGCTCTACGCGTATACGCCGGAAGTGTTCCCCGCGCCCAACCGCGGCACGGGCACGGGCATCGCCAGCTGCATCAACCGCATCTGCGGCCTGCTGGCGCCCATTGTGGCTATTTATGGCAGCTCGGGCAACCCCAAGGCGCCGGTTTATGCGTCTGGGGGCTTGATGCTTGCGGCGTTTGTGGCGATGGTTTTGTTGCCGATTGAGACGAGGGGGAGGGCGAGTTTGTAAAGGGTGGTCGCTGGTGTGAGTGTTGTTAAAAAGTTGAAATGAAAAATGAAAAATGAAAAATTGGTGCGTTTTTGTATGTGATCAGATGCAGCGATGGTGTTGGTTGTGTCCACTGAAACTGTGCTGGTAGTGGATGGGGGAGGGATGAAAATTTAGATCTTATCTATCTTTTCTCCTCATTTCCCCCTTTTGTTCATGTTTTATGGTTTATGTTTTCATTGTTATAACTACATGATATATCAAACTTTCCTCGCTTTATACATCCATACATATATATATATACTCAAGCTACGGTTAACGGATATGATGATTTGGGGGTGGGGGGGGGGG